TAACATAATAGCAACAACAGTGTCATGTCATCTCATCTCTGTTTAAATTACAAACCTGCACATAGATTAAGAAATCCTATAAATAAGTCTGTTGTAATACAGCCTCTAATTAGTTTTTATTCATATACACAAAACTGACGTAGTACGATTTTATTTTACTTTATTTGTTACATAACAAATCAATATGTTATTTTGAGGTAAATAGGACTATATATGATATTCCTAGTAATTTTTAAAATAAAAAAATATCCTTTTATTTAGTAAAAATTTAGTAAATGTCATTGAATGTAAAAGAGTTTTTTTTTTTCTTTTGGTACTTCATGGCAACTAGATTATCTGATTTTTCAAAATGATTTCACAATATAAAACTATTTAAAAGTGGTGCTTTTGAGTAGACCTTCATCAGAAGCTCATATTGTGTGTAAACTTCTAAATTTAAAGAATTTCATTTTCTTTAACAAATCCCTTTCTGGAAAAGAAGTAATCCTTACTGATATGGATTCTTTGGTTGGAAATACGGTCAAATATCAAGGAAGAAATAAGGTTTTTATGTCATGATTATTAAATCTTGCAGGCTGACGTTGATAAAGCTGTGCAGGCTGCTCGCCTTGCCTTTTCTTTGGGCTCGGTCTGGAGAAGGATGGATGCATCTGAGAGAGGACGACTGCTGGCAAAACTGGCTGACTTGGTAGAGCGAGATAGCGTCTATTTAGCAGTAAGTGCATGACAACTTGGATTTTCATCGGTGCAAAAGCTAACTAGGTTCCTAAAAAGTGTTTTGAATTTGATCATTTTCTACCTTTCCATTTTTATTTCCTAACTCCTCCTCCACCTTTTATTTCCTCTAAAAAACCTGCCTTTTTCATCTTTGCAAATAGAAATATTTGCTTTGCCTTAAAGAGAACTGAGGGGCTGTATTTTATAGTTTAATGTTATCTTGGTGTCACTTTTCACCAGTGGGTGAGTGTAAAGGATGAACTGGTTCAGAATTATGTGAAGTTCACAAGGTTATATCACATTTTTCCTAAAATCTCTCCCTCTTCTCGACCTAGACTATTGAGTCGCTGAACAGTGGGAAGCCTTTCCTGCCCACCCTGTTTGTGGATCTCCAGGCAACTATAAAGACTCTACGGTACTTTGCTGGATATGCAGACAAGATCCATGGAACCTCCATTCCGATGGGTAGGAGCTTCCTTGGAGTAAAGACAGCAGCGTTTATGGAAATAAGATTGATGAAGATTGATTTAGAGACCAAAATGAGATTCTTTCGGGGTGAACATGGTGGTTAGGATTGGGATTATAATCAACACTTATTTGTGGTAATTAAATATGAAAAGCTGTCAAATACAAAAATATTAAGTACCGGTACTTGATTTTTTTATTTAGTACCATTTCTTTATCACAAATTTCCGTCTGGGTGTTCTTAAACATCTACAAACATGTAAGAGAGTTATCTTTTCTTTTTTAGCAATATACAATATACAACATTATTAACCTAATTTTTCTATTGTATGACTTTTTAGGTAATACAAAAGAAAAGGTCTGATTTAAGTTATTGCCAGTCAGACATTCAATAGGATCAAAGGAAAATTCATAAACAAATTTTTAACAAACTATAATTCATTACATTTTATGTTCAACTGTCCTAAAATATAAAATATGTTGAACATTTTTACCCAGATTTCTCTTCTGATGCATGAATGAATATATGGATGGGTGGATGAATGGATGCATAGAAAGACTTCTTAGATAGATAGATAGATAGATAGATAGATAGATAGATAGATAGATAGATAGATAGATAGATAGATAGATAGATAGATAGATAGATAGATAGA